CTGCGGAAGAACTGATGATGGCACGGTTTGATCTTCGGCTGACCAATCAGCAGAAAGGGGCGTTTAATTCCCGCCCATGTGTAGAAATTGAATATTCAAGCTGTTTATTCATTTTTCTACCCCTGAACGAAAAACGAAAATTTAAGCAGAATTCTTGTTTTTTTATTTTTTGGGGGGACAATTATTTTTTTTCATTTTTCATTTTTTCTACTTTCAATATTAAATCAAAAAACGAATGAACAAATGATACGGATTTAACTGTATGCCTGCAGTATTCCTATAGTATGCAGACATGCTCCAGCTTGGCTCATTGCCACAAAGGCATTACCACTAAGCAAGGCCTAAGGGACAATGCAGACTTCCCAGCCAGCACATGACCGACCTTCAATGTTGAAATATGGTTGAAATAAGGTTAGTTGTTGTTTTAACGTTGATACAACGTTTAAAGGAACACTCCACTATTTTTGAAAATAGGCTCATTTTCCAACTCCACAGTTTAAACAGTTTTAGCCATATCGGCCTAGAAAATCGCAACATTTCATTTTCCGTCAGTCTTACTACACGATGTAACTACAGAAGAGTCAAGTTTTAAATAGGAAAAATATAGAAACTCTTTTGTCATTTTTGAGCGAGATGCTAACGGTCTAATCAGATTCAATGATCTATGCTAAGCTACAGCTAAAAGTGCTACCGCCAGACCCGGAGATCGGCTGAATGGATTCGAAAACGGTAAAACTCAACTGTTTAACTCTAGGGGAGTTGGAAAATGAGCCTATTTTCAAAAATAGTTCCTTTAATGCTGAACGGTTGAAAACCAGCCGACACATGACCAACCTTCAACGTTGAAATATGGTTGAAATAATGAGTTGTTGTTACAACGTTGAAAAAATGTTTAATGCTAAATGGTTGAAAAAGGTTAACAAACACTTGTAAATCAATGTTGATTTTTTTTTTTTTACAAGATCTGTATGTTGAATCAATTTAATGTCTTCAACAGCATACAAAAGAAATGTCTGCCTTTTATGGTGTAGCCATATGGTAACATACTCTTTGTGTTCATTTCCTTGCCACTGTCTCTTTAAGAGAACATTCTCGTTTTTTTTTTCATAATGCGTGCGGTAGAGGGTTAAATTATTTAAGATCATTATTATTATTTTATTAGCATTTTACAATATTTTGATCATGAACCCTATTCTAAAATCTAAAGGTATATGTTAAAATATTATCATCATTAACAAACTAAATACATTTCGCTGAGTTACCACGCTGAAACAATTTCTATTAGTTGTTTTACCTTTCTAAAAAAAGGTTGTTGTTCTACCTATTGCTTTGATCATGATTGGTTAATCTGGCTGTCATCCAGGAAACTGGCCAATGAAAGTCCCAGGCGAAACGCATTTTGCAGCCGAGCTGCAGCCTTGTTTCAGAGTGACTCACCCAAGTCCCATGGTAAACCTACAACATCTACCCGTCCAAAGGAGCGATCTACACCTGTTCTGTTCACCAGTGAGATAGGCACAAAGGGCCCTGATGCTGCAGCACAGAAATCTAGCTCAAAGCCAATGCCAAAGCCAAAGCCCAGGCCATATTGTCCTCATTGTGATAGCAGGGACCATTACCTCAATGCCTGTGACCAGTTTAAGAAACTAACTACAGCTCAAATTATCACTTGGATTAAAGAGGGAAAGCGCTGCTGGAGGTGTGGCCGAACACATGCAGTGGAGGTCTGCAACCTCAAGCGTCCATGTGGTGTCTGTAAAGAGTTACATCTTACAGTTCTGCATGATTCTGTTAATGACACTTCCAGGGCTGTTCTCATGGTCAGTTTGCCACCAACCAGGATTTACCTTGATCGACCTAACCGTTCACCCAAGGTCATGCTGAAAGTGGTTAAAGTCCTTCTACACATTGGTCAACGAACTATGGAAACACATGCAGTTCTTGATGATGGGTCAGAGAGAACAGTAGTGCTTCAGCCAGTAGTGCAGCAGCTTAAATTATCTGGTACCCCTGAATTGCTCCCCTTGCAGACAATTCACCAGTGTCCCACTGAACTCGCAGGATCATCTGTATCTTTTGAGGTGTCATCAGTATCCAAGCCTATGAGGAAGTTTGCTATACACAATGCATTCACTGCTACCGGTCTGTGTCTATCAGAGCACAGCTGCCCAGTTGCTGCTCTCCAGAAGGCTTATCGACACCTGAAGGACCTGCCACTGCCTCCTATGGACAGAGTGAAACCACTGCTTCTTATTGGGTCTGACATGCCGCATCTCCTGACACCAGTTCAGCCCATATGCAAAGGCCCAGTAAGTAGCCCATTGCTGTTCATACACAACTAGGATGGTCTCTCCAAGGCCCGATGAGTCGCATGCAGCCCTCACGGGGAAATCAGCAGTGCCTAGATTGTGTCAAAGCAACTGAACGGCATGACCTGATCTATCATGTGGAAAGACTCTGGCAAGTTGACACCCTCCCATACACTACCAAGATGGTTACCAGGTCCAAACAGGACAAAGAGGCTTACACCTTGCTGCAAAATGCCACCATCAGAGTGACAGTGGACTGTGTACAACGATATGCTACCCCATTGCTGAGAGGAACCCCTCTGAGCTTACTCCATGCAGATAAAACAGCGGTTCTTCCCAGTTTACGCCGTACTGAGCGCAGACTGGCACGGGATCCTGAGAGGGCTAAAGTTTACTGCAGTGAGATCCGTAAGTTGGAGTCAGCTGGTTATGTGGCTAAGATAACTGCAGAGGAAGCGGACCAAAGTGCAGAGTCCTGGTTCATTCCGCACCACATGGTGCAACACAATGGTAAAGACAGAATTGTCTTCAACTGCTCCTTCCAGCATCAAGGACAGTCTTTGAATGATCAGCTGCTACCAGGGCCAACTTTGGGACCATCCTTACTAGGTGTCCTCCTGAGATTCCGCCAGCACACTGTTGCTAACAGTGGGGACATCAAAGGTATGTTTCACCAAGTCCGCTTGCTGCCTGTGGACAAATCTGTACTGCATTTTCTTTGGAGAGACATGTGCAGGAAAGCAGAACCTGAGATATATGAGTGGCAGGTGCTTCCGTTTGGCACTACATGCAGCCCCTGTTGTGCCATTCATGCCCTCCAACACCACGCCCAAGGGCACAAAGATGATATGGCCGACT